GATAATAAGACCGGGGGGAAAGCGGAAAATGAGAAGACGGGGGAGGGGCGGAAGATAAGACGTGGAGGGAGCGGAAGATAGGAATACGGGGGAGGGAACGGAAGATGAGGAGACTAGGGAGGAAGTGGAAGATGAGAAGACGGGGGAGGGAGCGGAAGATAGGAATACGGGGGAGGGAACGGAAGATGAGGAGACTAGGGAGGAGGCGGAAGATGAGAAGACGAGGGAGGAAGCGGAAGATGATTAAGACCAAGGAGAAAGCGGAAAATGAGAAGACGGGGGAGGGAGTGGAAGATAGGAACACGGGGGAGGGAACGGAAGATGAGGAGACTAGGGAGGAAGCGGAAGATGAGAAGACGGGGGAGGGAGCGGAAGATAGGAATACGGGGGAGGGAACGGAAGATGAGGAGACGAGGGAGGAAGCGGAAGATGATTAAGACCAAGGGGAAAGCGGAAAATGAGAAGACGGGGGAGAAAGTGGAAGAAGATAAGTAGATAGAGGAGAAAATGGAAGATGCGAAGGCGGGAGAAGGAATGGAAGATGAAAAGATGGGGGAGAAGGCGGAAAATAAGAAGAGAGAAAGCGGAAGAGAGGAAGATAAGGAGACAAGAGAGAAAGCGAAAGAGTGGAAGATAAGAAGACAAGAGAGAAAGCGGAAGAGTGGAAGATGAGAAGACAAGAGAGAAAGCGGAAGAGCGGAAGATGAAAAGACGATGGAGAAGAGAAAAAAAGCAGGAGAGTGAAAATTAATATGAAAGAAAGAGAAAAAGTGATTGTTGATAGTTTTTATGTTTTTTGGTTTTTTTTTAAAGAGGAAGAAAGAGCCGCTAACTTTTCGATGCTAATCCATTCTATGATTTGTTCGATACCTTTACCTTATCATCCATTAACAATCATTAATTCATTAATTGTTGAATTAATTATTTGCATTAATTATTCATTCATTATTTCAATTGTTTTTTCATTTAGAGAAATGATTGAAATTGAAACAAAAATCACATATTATTGCTATAAATTTCAATGATTTATCAATTATATCATATATTGTTAACATGTTGAATAATTGATTTTGTTAGTATTATATTTTATTATGATATATTAGGTTTAACGATTCTTATTTATAACACAGTCGGATAAAAAAGTCCATGAGATTCATCATTATTTATTAATTATCACATATGATAACCTATTAATTATCACATATGATAACTGATTGTATATTATTATTTGTTATTATCACATATGATAACTGATTGTATATTATTATTTGTTATTATCACATATGATAACTGATTGTATATTATTATTTGTTATTATCACATATGATAACTGATTGTATATTATTATTTGTTATTATCACATATGATAACTGATTGTATATTATTATTTGTTATTATCACATATGATAACTGATTGTATATTATTATTTGTTATTATCACATATGATAACTGATTGTATATTATTATTTGTTATTATCACATATGATAACTGATTGCGTTTATTTTAAATAGGCTGTCAAAATTTAACAGAGTTTAGATGAAAAAATATTGTTTGTATTCGTATTCCATTTCATCTATTTTTAACCTTTTTTTTGATTCATTTGTTTCTTTTTTTTTTTTTTAATATAATTAATGAATTAATTTCATTTAGCTAATTCTCGTTCTAATTTATAATAATTAACTCTTTAGCTATTTCGCTAATTAATTCTTTTAGCTATTCCGTTAACTAATTCTTTCGCTATTCCGTTAACTAATTCTTCAGGTAATCCATAATATTTTGTGGTAATAAAAGATGTAAATTTGTATAAGCTATACGTTATTGAAATTTGAAACAATTTTCGATTAAAAAAAATATCATCGATATATTGCGATCCATTTGATCCATTTTATTCATTTTGTTATTTGATATATATATATATCATCAATGTTTCAATCCATTTCATTTATTTTGCTCCCTAATTTATTTTTAACTTTTTCACACAAAACACAGAAAAGTTGTGATAGATATTTTGTAAAGAATGATTTGCTAATTATATCTAAATTGACTTAATTAATTAATTTTACTTTTTACAAAAAGTTTCGACAGAAAATATTTTGTATTTCTCTTGTGTTTCCTCCATTAACTGCCTTATATTCCTTCACTAATAATTTTATTTATAAGTAACGAAGTATGAATTCTCCAAAATCTCTTAAGAATGAAAACTAAATTAAGATGACGAAAATTAAACTGTAAAACAATTCATAATATTTCAGAGGATAACATTTTTCCCAAAAGTATGAAACGAAAATGAATAATATCAGAAATAAATTAATTCATTGATATTTGAGAATTTTAATAAATTAGAAATGATGTACGGAAGAATTTAAATTAGAAATGAAATAGAAATGAATTTGAATTAGAAATGAAGAGAAAATGGATTTAAATTAGAAGAAATAAAATTGAAATGAATTGAAATTGAAGAAATAAATTAGAAATGAATTGAAATTGAAGAAATAAATTAGAAATGAATTGAAATTGAAGAAATAAAATAGAAATGAATTGAAATTGAAGAAATAAAATTGAAATGAATTGAAATTGAAGAAATAAATTAGAAATGAATTGAAATTGAAGAAATAAATTAGAAATGAATTGAAATTGAAGAAATAAATTAGAAATGAAAATTGTATGTTTTTTTTCCTAAAAAGAATTTTGTTATTTTAAGCAATCAATCGTTGTGTTAAACGGTTGGAGAAAATAAGAGAAAACGAAATTACAACGCACAAAATTTTATTACTTTCAAAATTGAATATTTCTGATAATTATTGTTAATAATAAATTTATATATTTTATATTATATCATTGTTTTAATTATTAAGTATCAAATTTTTTTCCTTCTTCAAAAAAGAACTTTTCTTAAATCAGATGAATCAGTAAAGTAAACATAAAATTTGATTGATAATTGTCAGATTGAAAAATCATCCATTAGAGTTTCGCATCTGACAGGAAATTTTACGATTACTTAAAGTGTACGAATTTAATTAATTGATAGTCTCTTTTTCATCCATTTACCTGTTATTAATTTTTTTGAAAAAAATATTTGTTATTTAATTTAGTAGTAAATTTAGTATTAAATTTATTTAGTAATGAAATTTCATTCTCATATTTTCGTTCTTTAAATTTCGTCGTTTTTTGCATTGGAAAATTTATAAACAGAAAAACTATCTCTGATTTAATCGATAAAATAGAGTTAAGTAATAATTTAAATAGCCTAGCCTACGTTTTCAATTAAAGACATTTTGAAAATTAAACATTTATAAGAAATGCTTAAAGAGAAACAAAGCAAATTTTAATTGGGAATTGTTTAACTTAATTTAATTAATTTTTGGAATAATTTTTATTCTTTCGTTTAACATAATTTAATTAACATTTTGAATAATTTTTAATACTTTTGTTTTCACATTTTCATTTCATATTTTCTATTTCTTATATTGGTTTCATATATATGTAAATTTAATGATTATGATTTTATTATTCGATATATCAATAATAGAAATTTTTAGTAGTACAATTTAAAAAATTTTATTAATTTCTGTAAATCCTGAATTCCTGAATTCCTGAAATGTTAATTCCTGAAATGTGTACAGCTATTTTGCATTATTGAAAATAAAATGTTTCAATCAAATATTTCATCATTTTCTATACTAAGGCAAAAAGCTTCAAATTTTCAAGTATTATTGAATCTTGTTGAAGTTCAAAGAGGAAAATGAAAATTCATCATTTCATACTAATACATTTACTCATTTCTATTTAATTATATTTTAGTTTTCGATCAATAAATAATATATTTAAGTATTACTACATATGCAATAAATTCATTTACAAGTACTATTTGAATTATGAAAAGTTGTTTATTTTTTTGAAAAAAAAAAATTTATGACAACACTTATTATGAATATGCAAATTAATGTCATCGTATAATGTTCTCATTACAATTTTAAATTTATTCCTTTGCTATAATAAATGTTTGATAAAATATAAATGGGATTAATATGTTTACAGATGAACAGGTGACTATTGATGTTTCTTCAATATGATTGATAGATTTGCGAGAGATATCAACAATGATAAATTTAAGTAGAGCATGCTTCAATCATTCAACCTCTTTGCTACTCATATAAATTTGCATTTGTTTAAATCTTCTTCGAATAGGATTGCATTACTATTACCTTATCTTCTTCAATGCCATACGAATAGTATTACAATTAGTCTCGTAATATTTATCCATTTTAGCGAATTCATTTTTGGTTGCAATTATTATTCTAATTTATTGTTATTAGTTATTACTGTTATTGTTATAGTTATTTGCATTCGTAAATTATTTATTTTAAATTTCAATCTAATTTATTATATTATCTATTATCAGTAACACTTCCTATTATCAGTAACATGTAAACATTTAACACTTATCTTCTTCAATTTTTCGATTATTTTAATCAAATCATCATCTTATTAAATGATCATTAATAATTATTACTTGTAGGTACGGTAAATTGGAGGTAAATTCGTTATAGAATAGGATTTCTAAATTTTCATCTTAATTATTTGTAGAATTATTATTGATAACATTTGTTATCTTATAATCTAAAATTTAATTTTCAATTTTACTGTTTATTTTTTTTTGTCACATCCAATTGTTATACGTATTTTATAGCACTTAGCATTAATTAAAAGAATTAATTAAAACAAATAATTGTTAAATGAATGTTTGCATTGTTTTATTTTATTTACAAATTTAACTTAATTTATTCTTTCGTTTTTTTTTATTTACTTTTGAATTTTTCTTTTGTACTTCTTAGCATATCCATTCTTTTTTGACAACTGAAATAATTTCAGTTTATTAAACACAAACACAAAATAGTACTAATTTGAAATATTTAGGGACAATTAGATATTAATAATTAAATAGAGTTTATGTTTTAAATATATGATTTTAAAATTAATTGGTAATATATAAAATCGATTAACGAAAATGTGTAACTAAGTAATTATTTCTTCTTGTATAAGTTTACATTGCCGTTATATTACATATATATAAAACAAGAAGAAATAATTACTTAATTAAACATTTTAGTTAAACGAATTTTTTAAAAAAAAATTATATATGCAGTACAGTGGCAATTATATATATATATAATTATATATATATGCAATATAGCGGCAATGTAAAATTAAACAAGAAGAAATAATTACTTAATTACACATTTTAGTTAAACGAATTTTTTTAAAAAAAATTATATATGCAGTACAGTGGCAATTATATATAAATAATTATATATACATATGCAATATAGCGGCAATGTAAAATTATATAAGAAATAATTATTTAATTACATATTTTAGTTAATCAATTTTTTTTTTACTATTAACAGCCGTAAATCATTTTAAATTTTTGATGTCTTCCCTTTGTTTCCTTTTTTTTTTATTGATTTTTTATATCAAATTTCAATTTTTGAATTTAAAAAATGACATCACATAATGAATGAATGAATTTGAAAATCTTAAAATACACGTTTAAAATATATTTAACTATGCGTTTAAAATATATTTAAAATATATATACGTTTAAAATATATTTAACTATGCGTTTAAATGCGTTTAAAATATACCTAACTATGTGTTTAAGAAAGTTTGAAATATATATAATTATATGTTTAAATCTTAAATATTATTTTAAGCCGAAATTTAGGATGAATTTTTCATGTGAAAATGTTTCAATTGTTGAAATTATTTCTGAACTTTAATCTCTCTCTCTCTCTCTCACTTCAAATATATCATTTTTCACGTTTTTTATTAAATATGCATGTTTCTTCTTCCTTTTTCTTTCTTTTTCTTTAATCTTTTTTTAAATTTTTCATTCTTTTTTACAAAAAAAAGAAAGAAAGTTAATAGAAAGAAAGAAAGAAAGAATGAATGAATGGAAAAGAAAGAAAGAGAGAAAGTTAAAATTTTGAAAATATTATCTTTCCATCCTAATATTATAAACATGAATTGTTTTGCAAATAACTTATCTGATATAAAGAAAGAACTTTTTATGCGAATTTTCCCAATTTACGCATAATTTGTGAATTATGATGAAAATTTGTTGAAGCATGTAGTTGAGATTTATGAAAATGAAAGGTTGTTTGTGGTAAAAGTAAAACTAAAATCAATGTTTATTGCTTTAAAATTTAATTCCCACTAGTAATGTTTAACTGGATGGATGCTTTGCTTTATCTACGTTTTCCTTTCTTTTAAAATATATGAAAAAGCAGAAAAGAATGAGAGTGTATAATGAGTAAGAAAAGAAAAAGAATGAGAGTGTATAATGAGTGTGAAAAGAAAAAGAATGAGAGTGTATAATGAGTAAGAAAAGAAAAAGAATGAGAGTGTATAATGAGTGTGAAAAGAAAAAGAATGAGAGTGTATAATGAGTAAGAAAAGAAAAAGAATGAGAGCGTATAATGAGTGTGAAAAGAAAAAGAATGAGAGTGTATGATGAGTAAGAAAGAAGAAGAATGAGAGTGTATAATGAGTAAGAAAAGAAAAAGAATGAGAGTGTATAATGAGTAAGAAAAGAAAAAGAATGAGAGTAAAATAGGAAAAAAAAGAATAAAGGTATGATAAGAGGGAAAAGGAATGAGAGTAATGAGTAAGAAAGAAAAAGAATGAGAGTATAATGAGTAAGAAAAAAAAATGAGAGTATAATGAGTAAGAAAGATAAGAATGAGAGTATAGTAAGAAAAAGAATGAGAAAGTATAATGAGTAAAGAGAAAAAGGAGATATTTGAATAATAATTATTGATTCATTTTAAGAATTCCATTTTGAGTATTTCATTTCAATTGATATTAGCATTAAATAGGTAAAAAATTAAACTTACTTTTATTGATAAATTTGTAAAAATTTTTTCCCTAATTGAATATCTTCAAATTTTGAAATGAATTATCAATTTGATTACTTATATATAATAGAAAATTCATAATTTGATTACTTATATATAATAGAAAATTCACGATTTATTCGATTACTTATATATAATAGAAAATTCATAATTTATTTGAATACTTATATATAATAGAAAATTCACAATTTTTTTGTTTACTTATATATAATAGAAAATTCACAGTTTATTCGATTACTTATTATTACTTATATGTAATAGAATTATTACTTATATGTAATAGAACATTCATAATTTGATTATTTATATATAATAGAAAATTTATAGTTTAATTTTATTCCACACAAAATTTAATTGTATTATAATTCAACTTTTTTATTGAAATTTTACTAATAAAGTATTTAAATTTTTAACTTCTTTCTTCCTAAATATTATAAATTATGCCAATTATATATAAATTATTTAACGTTATATCATATGACCATTTGACGTAATTGCAAATACTATCATTTAATGATAAATGTTAATGAATGGACAGATATCAAACTTTATGCTTTACTTTAAATTCAGGTATTTGCAAAAAGTCAATACGGATACGTGATCTAATTAAAAGTTCATTACGTGCAATTTAAATTTCAATATAACATTGAAAAATTTATTTTACATTATTGAAATGATAAAAAATAAAAAGAATAACACTTTATAATTTATTTTAATATTTTAGTAAATCAATTATGAGCATGAATCAACCATTACGTTCACAATCATTCAAATATCGATCACGTCCATCGATTTACGTGAAACGTCGTCTATTAGATGATACAATTCGAGAAAGAAGACGTTCAACGCCTAATATTTCCCGTTGTTCCACTCCGCATTCAAGGTTTAGTTATTTCATTTGCACATAATTAAATACCGATTGAGGGAGGAAAATGATTTCAAATTATAGTTATAATTTCGTATTTATATTTGAGTTAAAATTTTGATGATTATATTTTTGGGTTAAAATTTATATTAAAATTTTGATGATTATATTTGGGTTAAAATTTATATTAAAATTTTGATGATTATATTTGAGTTAAAAATAAGTTATATTTGAGTTAAAATTTTTGATGATTATGAAATTTCTGCAGAAAATGTATTAATCTAGATGTTGTTGTTTTACAACTATTAATTATTCAAATTTGAAATTATAATTAGAATTATCAATTATTATGTGTAAACTTGAAATAACGCTTTTAAAATTGTATCGTATTGATCCGGAAAATGTAAATAGTCCGATTTTGTTTTCATCGATGAAAATAAATTAGCTTATTTGCATTAGTAATTTTCATTACTAATTACATTAGAAAAATTTGTCCTTTTTTTCTGTTTCTAAATTTTGAAAAATAAAATTTACGTAATAGAATTTTCAAAAATTAATTAAAGAAGAAATTTTCAAGAAACAATGAAAGAAATAAAATTTGCTATACGATAATTAATGATATTTCTTATTGTTTTAACCAATTAATTTTGCTATCTTTTAAACTAATCTTACATTCTTATTCTTATATATCTTGAAACTTTGCGCGCATCATCTATTAATCAGATAATTAACTGATAGGAAAAGCATAAATAGCAACATTTTATTGCTTCTGATAGAAGAAGTTAAAATCGAAAATAGAAGCTGTATACTTTTATTTGCTTCTTATATATTTATTAATGATTAAATTTTAATTAACAAATAAAAATTTGAGGGGCAAAAATTTTTTCCTTATTCATTAATTAGCATTAAATAAAACTTTAGCAAATTTGCCAGATGCTAAGATTTCCTGTAAAGTTTTACTCTTTTTTTCTTCTTAACTAAAATTAATTGTCGTTTACACAAATGATTAATGATAGTATATTATTGCTTTGCAGCTGAAATATTATTCATCTGGTAAAATGAAAAATAACTTTAAACAAACATAATATGTTAAAAGTTTTTCAAATCATCCCTTCCTTTTTTTTCCTGCAACTTTGCAAATGTTGAAATTTTGACAGGAAGAAAAAGCTGGAAAGAAATGAACAAAGGAAAAACAAAATTTAATTATAATAATTAATAATTATTAAATCGTTCGCTTATAACTTTTTTTCCTGCAACTTTGCAAATGTTGAAATTTTGACAGGAAGAAAAAGCTGGAAAGAAATGAACAAAGGAAAAACAAAATTTAATTATAATAATTATTAATTACTAAATTGTTCACTTATAGCTTTTTTCTGCAACTTTGCAAATGTTGTATTTTTGAAATTTGAAAAAGCTGGAAAGAAATAAACAAGGAAAAGTAAAAAAGCTGGAAAGCTGGAAAGAAATAAACAAGGAAAAGCAAAATTTAATTATAATAATTATTAATTACTAAATCGTTCATTTATAATTGCTCAGTTTTGAAAAATTATATTTTATTGCTTAAAATTATTTTCAACAAAAAAATTTATCCATATTTTTTAAACACCTTTAGAATATAATATGACAATTTACTAATAAATCAAATGAAACAAATGATATGCTGTTCGAAATTTATTTCGGTGAACTTTAAGCCGGAAATATTTGATTAATTAATATCGGAAAATATTATATACGTTCGAAAAGCTAACAGTACATATAATTCAACAATTGAACTCTGATAGATTGTAAAAAAAATGAAAAAACAAATTTTATAAAATTTTTGAAATTTATTAGATAGTTATAAATAGTATAGTAAGACATTTTTATTGACCACTTAAATCAATTCTGAAATAAATTTTTTCATATATATTTAATATCAACATATTTCTTTATTTTGTTTTATATCATCTTTATTTTTTAAATTATTCAACCTAAAAATGATTTTCATTTTCTTTACAAAGATCTTCAAATGCTTACCTAAAAATAATTTGTTATTCAACCTAAAAATGATTTTCATTTTCTTTACAAAGATCTTCAAATGCTTACCTAAAAATAATTTATTATTCAACATAAAAATGATTTTCATTTTCTTTACAAAGATCTTCAAATGTTTACCTAAAAATAATTACTATCAATGATCGGTAAATTCATTCTTTTTTTCTCTCCAATCGAGTTTATTTACTATTTCGTTTTATTATTAAGATTTTTGAAATTGTAGAAATGTTAAGAGGAGATTTTAATATTTGTAAGAATGAATTATTTTGCCCGATATATCATACCTAATTTTAATTTTATTTCTGTAGACATCGACCACTAGAACCGCTCGAACGGACAGATGTTTGGCCGAAACCAAGAGCAAGTATGGTGGAGGATCGTTTCCTTGCTTTAATAGATTCTGATGATTATACTCGAGTGCGAGAATTTAATATTGATGAAAAGGGTACTGTTGTTAGCCGTGGTGATTCATTTCGCCTCAAAAGTCCTACTTCTCGTAAACGAGGTAAAATTAAATATTTTAAGAAGTGACGTGTCCAAGAGAAAATTAGCATCAATATTTAAAAAAAGAACTATCACTTCCGAGTTATTTCAGAATGAACAAAAAAAATAGAGCTCTAATAGTGATCTAAAACAGATGACAGGAATAAGATGTTACC